TGCTTGGCAGAGGTGAGTGGCAGAGCTGAGGGGTTCATGGTCATGGTTGGGGCAGGGGCCGGCATCATCAGCGTGGCCATGGTAGCCAACATCCTTCTTGACAGATCCAGCCTGCTATGGCAGACGTACTACCTTCCTGATCCTGCCGCTGCTGCTGCTGCTGCTGCTGCTGCTGCTGCTGCCGCGCCGCTGCTGCTGCTGCTGCTGCTGCTGCCGCCGCCGCTGCTGCTGCTGCTGCTGGTATAGGGCAAACTGAAGGTTCGGCAGCGGAGGAACCTGGAGATTAAGCGGTCACTTTTGTTTTGTTTGGGGCAGGTCAAAGGTCACCTGGGCACTGTGGGGGGTCTGGCAGGTGGAGTCTAGTGTAGCGGGTGAGGTGGCGGTGGGGGGCGGCGCATGGGCGACGGCGGCGGTGGATGAGGTGGAGGAGATAGTGGTGGTGGTGGAGGTGGTAATGGTGGTGGTAGTGTAGTGGAGGTGGTGGAGGTGGTAGTGGTAGTGGCGGCGGGTGGTGGTGGTGGTGGCGGCGGCGGGTGGCAGTGGAACGGGTCGGCACGGGTGGCGGAGGTGGGCGGCACCAGCACTTGACAAAGTCCGGCCGGGGCGACGCGCGGCGGGTGACTGGGGGCGGGGTGGCAGGGCGGCGGGGCGGCACTGTGCCACCCGCCCCGCGCAGCGCACCCAAGTCCCGCCCCCTCAACGTCCCGCCCACCCAGCAAGCCACGCCCACTATTGATCTCGTTAGTGGCTGCCCGCGCCAAAGTCGAGGAGAGGAGCGGGCAGCCAGGCGGGCAAGCGCGCGGGCTGGCAGACGGACGGGCGGGCGGGCAGGCAGACGGACGGACAGGCGGGCGGGGGGGCGGGTAGGCAGACGGACGGGCGGGACAGGTGGGCGGGCCCAGACGGACGGACGGGCGGACGGACAGATATGAACATGTACGTCTTGTGGTAGCGATTATTGGAGTGACGGGGCGACGCTGTCATCGTTATTGGTATAGTGATGGTCCTTGACCCGCTGACCAATACACTACATCTCCGACACTAACGCACCCCTATCCTTTCCCCACAACTCCACTAACCCAGCCCCCCTCCTTCTCCAACACCACCCCACCAGCCTTACCTCTCTTAAACCTCTCACCTCATCACCCTCCCACAGTCACCAAAACTTGCCCCTCTCCATCTTCTTCCACTCTTCCTCCCACCCACTATATCCAATACTTCCCACATCTTGCCCTTCCCATCCGCCACTTCCTAACCCACCCCAATACTTCCTCCAACACGAAAATTAACCCTCCTACCTCACACACACACACACACACACACACACACACACACACACACACACACACACACACACACACACACACACACACACACACACACAATAACACCAGACATGACGCCCACCAAAAGTGGGTGTTACCTATTTAGAATAGTCAAGAGTACATGGTGTACACTGTGACACCCCTATGTGTACCGTATCAAGTACAATACGTACTTGAGAGCATTATATATATATATATATATATATATTATATATATATATATATATATATATAATATATATATATATAAATATATATAATATATATATATAATATATATTATACATATATAATATATATATATAATATATATATATATATAATATATATATATATATATATGGCATCTCTGGTGTAAATTGTGGGACCCATAGCCTCGGAGAAGTGGATAAAAAGGCTTCAAGGAAGAATATTTGGATTTCTTCCTGAAGCCGTTTGAATATTCTACTTCCCCTACCACCCTATATTTTCATTCTGTTTTACCAATAGGTATATTTTATTGCATAATATGGTACAAAAGGTTTAAGAGATGTATTATTGATATACAGATGGCATATACAGTACATGGGATGTGAGAGATACATGTCTAGTACATATTGTTACGTGTTTGTCACTGATTATAATGCGAAAATCTCATCCAGCTCTTCAGAACTGAGGCCCGTGCCCAAAATACAGCAGACATTACCCCTCTGAACAGCAGCGCTGAGTCGCTGGGACAGAAAACTAGCTGCCCTGGGATCCCTAGTTACCCTGACGAGTCTTTTGCCTAGCTCCTTAAGGAACTTAGGCGCACTCTTTCCCCATGAGCCAAGGGTCTCTGAGCCTAAGGAACAAACATATAATGATGGGCAAGTTTTCCATATTTTCTAGACTTTTGGGACTCCCTGAAGCTGGCGGCTGCCCCTCCTTCCTCCCTGGTGTATTGGAGATAGGTATCAGCCAAGCTAGATGCACATGTATAGTCCCACACCACCTGCTTACCGTCTCTCCAGGCTTGAAGTGTGATACCATCTGGACGCTTCTGGCTGCCATCAGATCTGCATAGTTGGGGTGGCTCCCTTACTGCTGGGCATCCAGCTGTTGTGAGGCTCCTCTTGATATTATTAACCTCATGTCTTGCAATCTTTCCCTCGGGTTTACGACACACAAGACCATGGTACCCGAATCGGTCTGCTGCTTCACTGCCACAAATACACCTGTGTTCGGCGAGAATAGGGGCGGCAAGTCGAAGGGCAACACCAATGCGGATGGTCTGTGGGTCGAGCCGTGTGCCAAGACTGGAGTTGGGAACGGCCAACAGAAAGTCACCTGCATGAGGATCTCTCACTGCCAGGATGCGGGCTCATATAAATAAATAAATAAATAAATATATATATATATATATATATATATATATATATATATTATATATATATATATAATATATATATATATATATATATATATTCAACAAACCGGCTGTATCCCACCAAGGTAGGGTGACCCAAAAAGAAAAACAAAAGTTTCTCTTTTTAAATTTAGTAATTTATACAAGAGAAGGGGTTACTAGCCCCTTGCTCCCGGCATTTTAGTCGCCTCTTACAACACACATGGCTTATGGAGGAAGAATTCTGTTCCACTTCCCCATGGAAATAAGAGGAAATAAACAAGAACAAGAACTAGAAAGAAAATAGAAGAAAACCCAGAGGGGTGTGTGTGTATATATATATGCTTGTACATATATGTGTAGTGTGACCTAAGTGTAAGTAGAAGTAGCAAGACGTACCTGAAATCTTGCATGTTTATGAGACAGAAAAAAGACACCAGCAATCCTACCATTATGTAAAACAATTACAGGTTTCCGTTTTATACTCACTTGGCAGGACGGTAGTACCTCCCTGGGCGGTTGCTGTCTACCAAACTACTACCTACAAAATATTTTTCATGTATTCCTTCCTAACTCAACGGTTAGGAAGGAATACGGTCTTAAACCATTTCTCACATCTGTCAGACACTACAACATCATGGGATCTTGATACAAAGAATTCTTCAGCCTTGTCCAACATTTGGACGAAGACCTACTTCGACTTGTGGATGGTACTACTATGACCCCGCCGCCTCCTGCTTCGCATATATATTATATATATATATATATATATATATATATATATATATATATATATATATATATATATATATATATATATATATATATATATATATATATATATATTATATATATTATATGCAAAACAACCACGGGGAAAGTAGAATAATAGCTGTTGGCATCTAGGACATCTTCACTGGAGTGAGCTCCACTCTAGTGAAGATGTCCTTTGGGATTGTATTTGCTTGGATATCCTCCTCTTTTCTGCAACTTTGCAAGCTCCTAAGATGTGCTGATTGCAACACGAAAGGCCTAGAGCTATCATTCTACTCCCCCAGTGGTTGTTTTGAATCCTGTATCGCTTGGTTTGTGATATTTGCATATATATATATATATATATATATATATATATATATATATATATATATATATATATATATATATATATATAAAAACACATCACACACACACACACACACACACACACACACACACACACACATTCAGGGTGTACACAAAAACACTCGTTGATTTCAAACAGGTATAACTTGTAACTTTATTATAATAATCTTTCACAGTCAGTAGCTCAGACGCAGGATGTCACTCAGTTTCATGTGGTACAGGGTAGCATGAAAGGCACTCAATGTGCGCCCCTCTGGTTGCTTGGTAAACATCGGTGCGATAGTCCAGTTTGGTCCAGACGCTCTGCAGCATATCTGGTGTTCATGCGAACTGTTTCAGTGATCGATATTTTCAGCTCCTCCAGGGTTGCAGGTAGTGGTGGTACGTAAACTGTCCTCTTCACTTACCCCTAACAGTGAAAGATTATTACAATAAAGTTACATGATATACCTGTTTGAAATTAGGGAGTGTTTTTGTGCCACCCTGGATAATATATATATATATATATATATATATATATATATATATATATATATATATATATATATATATATATAATATGGTAGGCAGTAGTTTGGCAGACAGTAACCATCCAGGGAGGTACTACCGTCTTGCCAAATAAGTGTGAAACGGAAACCTGTAATTGTTTTACACAATGGTAGGTTGCTAATGTTTTCTTTCTGCCTTAAAACACACAAGATAACAGGTATATCTTGCTACTTCTACTTGCACTTAAGTCACACTACACAGGCATGTATATGTATACACACCAATATATGTTTTCTTCTATTTTCTTAATAGTTCTTGTTCTAATTCGTTTCCACAAACACACAAACACACACAAACACATACACACGCGCGCGCACACACACGCACGCACACACGCACACAAAACACACACACACACACACACACACACACACCCCACCACACACACACACACACACACACACACATAAGTATAAAATGTGAATTTATGTGTAAATTTCAAATTTAAAATCTGACCACATCCTGAAGCCGTCACCAACAGCCTGAGCGATCACAAACCAGGACGCAGTTAGCGGTAGAGGTGGAGGATCGAACCTCCACCACTCATCGCCCGGAATGACCCACTGGAGTTTAGTGTTGCACTATATATAATAATGCCACTAATCTCTTTCCGTGTATAGTGATCCTTGTAGGCTGCCCAGGTAGGCTTGGCACTTTTAGTAGCAAATGGGTGGTGAGGGGATAGATTCAAGGCGTTGATGATCCATTCCCTCCTCGTGTTAAATAAAGTAGGCTTACCTAGGCAGACTTGTGTAGCCCTACAACTGCAGCTAAAGTCGTACTGAAAATCAGCACAAAGAAGAGGTAAGAGGGCATAAGGAAGTAAGGGGAGGGAAGAGCAAAGAAGTGGGAACTAATGAAATGAGATAGAGGAAAAAGCGAGAGGCGAGAGGGTGCAATAGGAAAGGGGGAGAGAGGAGGAGGGAGGGAGAGAGAGAGAGAGAGAGAGAGAGAGAGAGAGAGAGAGAGAGAGAGAGAGAGAGAGAGAGAGAGAAGAGAGAGAGAGAGAGAGAAGACAGACAGACAGACAAGACAGACAGATAGAAGGAAGGAAAAGGGAAAAAAAGAGTATCTCTCTTCTCATGCTAACATAGTGCTGATGTATTACCTGACACCTCTCCTACCTCTACCGCTCTCCAGTCCTGTTACTCTTCAGTCTCTCCCACCTGTTACTCTCCGTCTCCCCCATCGTTATTTTCCGTCTCTCCCCACCTGTTACTCTCAGTCCTCCCAGTCCTTACT